TGGGTTTCACGAATAACTTCAAAAGAGGGTGTCACATGATTTGTGGCACAAAGAAATTCAGAATCGGTAACAAAGACAGCACAGGAGCCTGTAATCTAAGAAGTACATTCTTTCCCTGCCCAATTTAAAATTTAAAAAATAACGTGAAGTGAAACTATCTTGGTGTGAAGAGCAAAGAAACTGCTACTCCGCAACATTTTTAGAAGTCCTCTGGTGGCCGACTGATGCTGCAGTGAATGTTCGCAGCGAATCCCAAGCTGAGTCAATGATCTGTACTGAGAGAAAATAGCACAGAATGTTTGCAGCGAATTCGAACCAACGTTAATACTCTGTATGTTGGCTGAGAGGAAACAGCATTGCTCTTTAAAAAACAAACTCTTCCGTGTGATATTCCCGAATGACACCCAGAGATTGTGCTGAGTATTATATCTGGCGGCAATCTCTTAAAACTGAGTCCTTCCCAGCGGCTGGGTCTCCTGCGGCGAACTATCGAGGTGAGGGTTCAGTTCCAAATGGGAGATTCTCCTTCAGATGTGCTACATTCCGATCTGGTAGCACCTTAGCGACCAACTGGATTTTCGAGATATCAGCTTTCAACAGATAACGCTCCCTTTGTTAGATCCGACTGATGGAGCTTTGACTCTCGAAAGCTGATACCCCCAAAATCCTGTTGGTTTCTGAGGTGTTATTGGACTCGAATCCAGACCAACATGGCTGCCCTCTGAAATAATCCTTTGGATGTGTGAAACTGCTCCCCCCAGTGGGTGGGGTTGTAAAGGTGGTGGCAGACCCCAGAGCTAGGGAGAATCCTGTTTCAGGTGAGCAGCTGAGGCCTGCCAAGCCTATAGACACAAGCTTCCAAGCCAAACAACCACAGCTGTTCTCTGGAAGTACAAACTCTGCACCCCACAAAAAGCACGAGAATATCGGGGGGGGGGGGGGGGGCAGGATGCATGGGGGGGAGGCCAGATTGCTTGCCTGCCTTTCTCCCTGGAAAGATCACCCTTCAGGCATGCAAAAGGTGCTAAGAAAACTTCTACGCTGGTGCAACAGTGGAGGTCTAAGAAACGGCAGTGTGCTATACCAGGAGCAGAGGTGCTCACTACATTGCCAATGGGAGGAGAGGGCAGTTTAAGCAGGGCTGATGACTTCTCGACGGGAAAAAATGGACCCTCCCACAAAGAATGAGACTGCTGAAAGACGTGCATAAGGCGCCTTCAAGCAGCGGCACACCGAATCCTAGCAGAAATGCTGCCAAAACTTCCTGCAATGTACACTGGAAGATTATCGACACAACCAAGGTTGTAAGCATTGCCGGCCAAGCTTCTATTAGCTGAAGCTCACTTCCTGGCCAAATTAAAGAGAAAGGCAGACTTTGTCCTTGTGCTCTAAATGATGAATTCCAGATTTTGTACAGCAGGTGCCTGCTCAACTCCTCTTTTTTCCCCAAGTCGTCTGTGGTGTGCCTCTGAAGTGGAAGGTGGTAAGAATAAGTACTCATGCAAGTACACAACAGGTAGCCTCCCACCTCTGTACTGAGAGCGATCAGTTCCAGTTTTGATCATTCAATGTGAAGGTGGGCTACACACAAAGTCCAACTCGAGGGAGGCACGCTGGAACAGCAACTCATGCAGAGATGCAGTAAGCCACCTCTCAGTGCTAGCACAGATTAACAGGTTCTGTGAACCTTCAATAATTATTTATTTCAAAGTGGTAGTTCTGTCATGTCACATTGGCCCTGACATACTATTTGAGACTTACTGAGGGTTGTTATCCTGGGATAACATCCTGGAATTCTTTGCTCCACAAGAAAAGTATTCAAGTCTCTCTCACACACACCCGTACCACTGTAGGCAATTCACAGGGGTTATGGAATTCCAAACGGAACCTGAACTGGATGGCCTGGGGAACTCCCTGCCACTGCACCTGGCATCACGCGATCTGAAAGAATGCAGATACGCTTCCAGACTGCAGACTATTTCACTACCGGACGCTGACCCCCTTCCCCATATTGGTATTCCAAGAAACCACAACCACTCTTTCTGTGATTGAGCTAACCTTGCTTCTGCATACCAAAGATAGCCACATTATTCATATTTTAAAACATTACTGATTGCGGTATGAAAGAGACGCAAGTCAAGGGCCCTTGACTTGGTTGGCAGGAATTAATGACTCACCATGTAAAAACGAAGTTAGAAAGCGAGCCCTGTTGGATCAGACCAGTGGTCCATCTAGTCCAGCATCTTATCTCACACAGGGGCCAACCGGTTCCTCTGGAGAGCCAACAACAGGGCAAAGAGGCCGAGGCCTTCCCCTGATGTGGCCTCCTGGTTCTGGGATTCAGAGGCTCGGTGCCTCTGAGAGTTGACGTCCCCCTCAGTCACTATGGCTCGTAGCCATTGACAGACTTCTCTTCCGTGAATCTGTCTAATCCCCTTTGAAAGCTGTTTATTCCTGTGGAACGCACAAGAAGCCAGAGAGGGCAGGCGAGAAAGAATTTTGGCCCTTTCCAACTGGTACAGAAAACAAAACAGGGGGATGTTAAGAGTAGACGAGGGGCTTCTTCTTTCGACAGTCATGCAGGGCAATATATACATACCATTACTTCTCTTGGTTATTCTACGGGGTTCCTCAAATGCACACCATTTGGTGCATCATTTGAATTTCTTTTTTTTTTGAAGGCAAGTCTCTAGCCCTCATGATCTTGGAGACAATGAACAGTCATAAAGGTAACTATTATTTATCAAATGACTAAAATCCAAGATAGCTGGAAACAAAAGAAAGCTGGGTGTGGAAGAGGGGTGTGGAAGAGGGGGTTGCCGGGGGGGGGGGCAGAATTCCTGGGCCTAGACTGCAAGCTGATTCACAGAGTTGCTTTTTAATTGGAGAAAACTCCAGGGGGTAACTTGCCCTCTCTGCCCTCCAGAATTGTAAGGGGGAGCTGTGGCTTGGTGGGTAGAGCGTCTGCTTGGCACGCAGAAGGTCCCAGGTTCAATCCCCGGCATCTCCAGGTAAAAGGAGCAGGTAGGCGGTGATACAGAAAGACCTTTCTTAACCTGAGACCTTGGAGAGCTGCTGCCAGTCGAAGGAGACAGTCCTGATTTTGACAGAGCAACGGCCAGACTCAATATGAGCCTTGAATGTTCAAAGGATCTTATTAGGGGATCTTTGCATGGTAGAGAGATCCGAAGCCCTGTGTTTCAGGTTGCAGCCGTTTCTCGCTCCTCCCGCAGGGCAACCACATGAATACAGAAAGCACGGGGGTAGAGAATTCATCAAAAGGTGGTTCTTCCACCTCCCAAGGATTTTATACAATAAAAATGTTAAGGGCTTCCTCATTAGGAATGAGCTGGACCTCTAATGTGGAGCTGAAAATCAAGCATGTGTACGTAATACTCCACTGAAGATAGAAATTTGGGTATCGATGAGACCAATGAACTTTGGACAGGTCAAAAGACCATCAGGAATATCGGGCAGGCCCAACTTCGATGCAGCACGGGGAAACCAAGAGGGGTTTTGGAAGGGAGCCAATTCACATCATTTTTGCGGAACACGGTCCAAATCAGTGTCCCAAACCCTAAGACCCTTCCATTAAAGGGAGTAATAAAGGATGGAAGAGAAGCAAGCTAAAAAAGGGAGAAGGATTGCTCCGCGAGTATCGCGGGTCCCCACTTGTAAAGGACTAATTTCTGCGTCGTTCCTCATGCTTGGGAACAGCTCCCCAAGCATTTGCACGTGTAACTGCAGAATTGGGTGCGCGTCTTTTAAAAGACTCATCCGAAGGGGCAGACCTACTCCACTGATGGTGGTGTGAACAGGGTAAGAGAAAATTTAAGAGCATCGGCGCCTGGTAACTTCTGAGTAAAAATTCAGTGTCTGGGGTGAAGGTTTGATTCCAAAGCTTGCATCAGAAGGCGATGTGGCAAAGGTGGGTTTATTTCTTCGGGCGTTCCACGCGGGGTGGCTGTGGCAATTACCCAATCTGTGGTCTCGCCTGCCGATATGCAGCTTCGGGGCTGGCCTAAGACACTAAGACACAGCGGAAAGCAAAGCGAAATCAACGAGGGGCATCCCGCAGCAGTCCTCAAAAGGAACCTGGGTTATCTCTCTCCGATGAAAACTGTTTCCTTGGTGTCTCTCAAGTAGCTACTCAGATTGCTGGCCCAGCTGGGCTGTGAGCATAGACTGGTTTGACAGGGGATTAGATAAATTCCGCGGAGGGGAGATTTATCGCTGGCTCTTCGCTGCGATGGCGGAGCGAGATTTCCACGTTCAGAGGCGATGCAGCTCTGACCTTTAGTGAGCTCCCCAGCCTGCCCGTGATCTTCCCAGGAGGGGTACGCCATATCTGGTTGGACAGCTTGGGAAACCGAATGCTGGATTAGACGAATTCTGATCTGGCAGAAAAAACTCTGTTCTTATGGAACAGCACTGCACAGCAAGCCCTTAAGTGCTGTCGTACCTTAGAGACCAGCGGAATTTTCCCGGTGCGAACTTTCGAGACTCAAAGCTCCCTCTGGCAGATATGACTGACGGCCCTCTGATGCTCGAAAGCTCGTCATTCTTCGGCCGCAGACCAACGCGACTACCCTGTGAAGCTTAAGACAGACCAAAAATGTTTTTTAAAAAATCCAAGGGGCATTACGAGGATCTGTTCTGCTCGGGAAGGTTGAGAGAGAACGGCTCCAAGTACCAAACTACGCTCTGGACCGAAAATAAGACCCACGCTCCCGTTAACTGACCAGCAGGTCTGCCCCTTAGATCCCCTTGTTATCTGCGCCAAGTCACTGAAGACACCGGTTTCGAGCGTCGAGATTTGGGTCCAGCAGTACCGTCGAGGCCAACGTGATTTTCGGGGGATGAGCTTTCGAAAATCAAAGCCCCCTTCGTCGGATGTCAGAGCTTTGACTCTCAAAAGCTGATACCCTGGAAATCCTGTTAGTCTCTAAATTGCTACTGGATTGGAATCTAGCTGTTTTACTGTAGACTGGCATGGCTGCCCTTGGAAACTGGTTTCGAGCATGTAACAGAACAAAGGCCCAAGTTACAACAACCGTTACGATGTACTAACAGATAAAATGCCCCTCAGAAAACCCAAGTCTCTCTTATAAACCAAAACGGATGGCTGGCGCCCATGGGACTCCAACGCTTTTCATGATTCGGTGACAAACATTCGTTTTAACCAGCCAGCGATTGGGACTCTCGGTCACCTGCTTCCAAAAGAAAGGGTGTCCACTGGCTGAGAGCAGCGCCACGCACTAGCCCAACTTCTCCGGCTTTACAAAGACATCAAAGATACTGCCATCCAATTCTATTTTCCATGCCTCGCAAAAGACCCCCAACCCGTCGTGGCTTCCTTGACATGCGGGCTTTTTGGCTCTGCATGGTTCTCTGTTGTTCCAGAAACAGAGGGGAGGGGAGGGGGGGAAGAGTTCTTGACAGCGCCAAGAGGACATGTCTGTCGAAACGCATTGCGCAACTTCCCGGTGCATCCGAGGCCAAGTGTCTTCCGGCCAAAATGGAGAGGTCTCGGTCACTGCTTCTTGGGCAACTCCACTAAAAGGACGGGCCAGATGCCGAGGAGAAACTACAGACAAGGAGAAGGGGTGGGTGGGGAGAGAGAGACAAAATGTTTAGTGGATTGCTGGAACAGACCACAAATTACATTCCCAGATCCTCCCCTTGTAATAGTGATCTGATCATGTTTTTAGTTTTATGCAACTCTCTGCCATGACGGAGCTTCTAATGCTAGGGGAGGGGGTCCCCCCCCCCCGACCCTTTTGAGTCTGTGTGCACCGGTGGCATTCTGACACAGGTTGGTGGGCGGAACCGCAAAATGGCTGCCACAGGAGGGTGAGTCATACGCACAGGGGACACCAGAGTGCTGGAAAGAATAGGGGTAATCTTGAAGATACACTGGGAAAGATGAGTGAGAGAGAATAAAACCAAGACTCTGGTGGTAGCTGCCACTTAAACATTTATTTTAATCTGCCCAGCCAATTGGGATATCCAGTAAAGAAGAAGAAGAGATTGGATTTATACCCCGCCCTTCACTACCCAAAGGTGTCCCAGAGCGGCTTACAAACTCCTTTCCCTTCCCCTCCCCACAACAGACACCCTGTGAGGTAAAAGAAGAAGTAGAAGAGATTGGATTTATACTCCGCCCTTCACTACCCAAAGGTGTCCCAGAGTGGCTTACAAACTCCTTTCCCTTCCCCTCCCCACAACAGGCACTCTGTGAGGTAAAAGAAGAGGAAGAGATTGGATTTATACCCCGCCCTTCACTACCCGAAGGAGTCTCAGAGCGGCTTACAAACTCCTTTCCCTTCCCCTCCCCACAACAGGCACTCTGTGAGGTAAAAGAAGAAGAAGAAGAGATTGGATTTATACCCCGCCCTTCACTACCCGAAGGAGTCTCAGAGCGGTTTACAAACTCCTTTCTCTCCCCCTCCCCACCACAGACACCCTGTGAGGTGGGTGGGGCTGAGAGAGCTCTGACAGAAACGGCTCTTTTTCAAGGACTGCTCTTATCAGAACTACGGCTTGCCCAAGGTTATCCAGCCAGGTGCATGTAGAGGAGTGGGGAATCAAACCCAGTTCTCCCAGATTAGAGCCCGCGCACTCAACCACTACACCAAACTGGCCAATCAGATGCCCTGCTGGACAAGAGCCACACCTGGACCCAGTTTTTCTTTTTTAAAAAAACACTTTGTAGGCCCTAGGAAAGGTGTCGTTGGCTGGCACGGGGCCCACGGGCACCACGTTGGGGACCCCTATTCCAGAGGAATTTCGGACAGCTTACCTTCACCTTTGGCCGGTACTTCAGGTAAAGCGTCCTTGAGTACAAGCTAGAATGGGAGGGAGGGAACGAAAAAAAAGGTTCGTGACTTGGGTAGATTAGCTGAGGTCAAGGTGCACCAAGAGGAGGCAAAGGGAGAGAACTATTTTTGCTGCCCTCTGGGGAAGGCAAGAACCTGGCGAGTTGCCACAGGCCTCTGGCGACTCACCGAAGACGTTACAGAGGTCGACAAGCCTGGCAGTTTTGTTGGGCTCTCTGCCAACGGGCACAGCGCCCCGGAAACCAACCACTAAAAACAGAACTGGCACCAGCCTTTACCCTTAGAGAGAGGAGGTGGGTGGGTGGGCAAGCGGCCACAGGGGCTGTTGTTTCTAGTCGGCCTTGCTTTCATGAAGCTTATAGCGACGCGCTTGCCTGTATTTATATACCTCCCACTTTTCTCACCGGTTGGGACTCAAAAGCGGCTTAGAACACTGTTCTTCCTTCATCCGTAGCCTTTTGCAGGCCCGTACCTACGGTGGGGCTTTTGAGGGCTCCCCCCCTTGCTTAAAGGCACAGCCCCACAAGAGTTTCTCCTGTAAATGCTTTTCCCAATCGTTTTAAAACATTTTTTTTGAAGTAGGTTTCTTCTTTATTAATACATTAAAACATTTTTAAAGGCGTGCGCTCCTTTAAGCAGAGTGGGGTGCCGCAGCTGACTAATTCCCACACTGAGCAAGGGGGTTGGAGTAGGTGACCTCTAGGACCCCTTTGTCAGCAAGCTGCCATGGTGTTCTGTGTTGCTTGTATCTCTGTACAGTTGCTAAACCCCCCCCCCTGTTTGTGCGCCTGTATTTTACTCTGCTGTAATGCCTAAGCCAAACAACTGGAGGATGTATTGGGGGAGTACGCTTTATTGCCGGCTTGTTGCTTTTAGAGCCTGGGAACTGCACCTGTATTATGTCTGGAGATAACCTGGTTCTCAGGGAATGAGCGCGCAACCGTTTCCTTTCACCCGCCAGCGGGAACGTGACCCATTGGTTCTGTACCTGTTTCAAATCCCTTTATTATGCTTGCCCTAACCGTTTGTAGTCAGTTCTAACAAAGAACGTGTTTGAGTGTCTTTCCAACGCTTTAAAATAAATTTTGCTTTTCTTTAAAACGTGGATTTATTCTCGATGCTTGGGGATCCAACACCCTTCTAACTCTGTGTCAAGAAACTAGTCTCCTTGAAGAGCATTCTTCTGTCTAAGTGTTAGCTCTCTTGACTATAGAAGTCAGCACCCCTACCTGCCAGCTTGTTATCAGAAGTATTGCTTAGGCTGGCGGAAGTTATTAACTTGCAGCAGCTGAGGACTGTCATCTAAAGTGGCCGACAGCTTGCAATTTAGAGATCTCTCCTGGTAACAGCTTCCTTTTGGCTAAATGGCTTCCCTTTCTGCACTGAGAACTTCAGCCCCACCAGAAAAAAAATTTGCCCCACAGGATGCAAAATCCAGGCTCCCTGCCTGCCCTCCTAACAACCCTGTGAGAAAGGCCAAGAGTTTGTGACAGGCCCAAGGTCTCTCAGCTAAGCTTCCATGGTCAAAGTGCGGATTCGAACCCGGGTCCTTCCGGGACCCTACTCCAACACACTACATCACACTGGCTTCTGAGCAAGACCAGTGCTGTGTCACAGTATGCTCTCTGACTGGCAGCGACTGCTCACAGTCCAGAGGTATCTGGCGCCGCCCGCTACCCGAGCCTTTGAGAGGGAGACACTGGGGATTGAACCATGGACCTTCTGGGTATGTCGGCAGATGTTCTACCACTAAGCTGCGGCCCTGTCCCTAACTTGCTGTTTCTATTTGTGACGGCTGTTTTGCAACAGGACTGCGAGACAAAAATGTAAAGTCAGCTGGAGATGTCTGGGTGAGGGTGCAGCCTGAAATTCAAAGACAAGCCAAAAAATCTTTAAAAAAACCCCCACAAGTAAACAGTAACAGAAAGAGATCGAGACTAAAAGGAAGTATTTCTTCACCCAAAGAGTGATTAACACATGGAATTCACTGCCACAGGAAGTGGTGGGTGCTACAAGCATGGACGGCTTCAAAAGGGAATTAGATAAGCATATGGAGCAGAGGTCCATCAGTGGCTATTAGCCACAAGGTATAGCTAGGGGCTCTGGGGGAAGGGAAACCATGAAGGAGGAAGAAGAAGAAGAGACTAGATTTACACCCCGCCCTTCATTACCCGAAGGAGTCTCAGAGCGGCTTACAATCTCCTTCCCCTCCCCCTCCCCACAGCAGACACCCTGTGAGGTAAAAGAAGAAGAAGAAGAAGAGATTGGATTTATACCCCGCCCTTCACTACCCGAAGGAGTCTCAGAGCGGCTCACCATCTCCTGCCTCTCCCCACAACAGGCACCCTGTGAGGTAAAAGAAGAAGAGGAAGAGATTGGATTTACACCCCGCCCTTCACTACCCGAAGGAGTCTCAGAGCGGCTCACAATCTCCTTTCCCTTCCCCTCCCCACAACAGAGACCCCCTGTGAGGTCGGTGGGGCTGAGAGAGCTCTTTCGAGAACTGCCCGTGAGAGGACAGCTCTGAGAGAACTTGTGACTGACCCAAGGTCACACCAGCAGCTGCATGTGGAGGAGGAGATTGGATTTCTACCCTGCCCTTCACTACCCAAAGGAGTCTCAGAGCGGCTTACCATCTCCTTTCCCTTCCCTTCCCCACAACAGACACCCTGTGAGGAAGGTGGGGCCGAGAGAGCTCTTTTGAGAACTGCTCCTGAGAGAACAGCTCTCAGAGAACTTGTGACTGACCCAAGGTCACACCAGCAGCTGCATGTGGAGGAGTGGGGAATCAAACCCGGTTTTCCCAGATGAGAGTCCGCGCTCCTAACCGCTACACCATGTCTTGGAGGTCATTGATTCACAGGGTTGCCATACGTTGGAAGCAAGCTGACAGCGCATAACACACATTTCTTGAGTAGGGAACATCTGACAGCTGGGTTGCCGGCGCGGCACAAGGCGGGGAGCGAAGGGGAAGGGGAAGCCGTCCCACCTGAACAAGATGTGAAGGTAGGAGCCGAGGCCCGTCAAAATGTGCCACCACGCGTGGAACTGCGTCACGACACCCACCACCGGAGGCAGCTGATTGCGCAACCCTCTGCGGAAACAAACAAGAACGTCTTCTCACTCCCTTTCCCCTCCAAAGTGCTCTGTTTACACAGTCGTCCGGCTAGAAATCACTCTTGTCGGGACCAGCAACGCCAACACGAGGTTTGCTTGGCTTGCAAAGAGAGTGTTTCCAAACCTCTTGTGTAGAGAGCAAAGGCCAAACTATGCGACCGTAACGAACCTTTGGCAAGCGACAATCTTATGGTTACAAAAGACAGAGAGAGACGTATGCAGGGCAAAGTTGTCATCTGACCACTATGTGGCTTCCCCAGTTCGCCCGTTCGGTATGTAATGAGGTGTCCGCAGAATCTCTGCATTTATTCCTCAAGGCAAGTGTGGCATACATTGAAGCTGGAGGTGAATTGTTCTCGTGGCCCTTTCTTACACACCCAGGGAAAAGCTGATCACCACTTTGGGGTCAGGAAGCATTTTTTCTCCAGGCCAGTTTGGCTGGGGATCCTAGAGGGGTTTTTTTGTCATCTTCTAGGCATGGAACAGAGGTCACCGGGGGTGTGGAGGAGGAGGCATTTGTAAATTTCCTGCACTGTGCAGGGGGGTTTGACTAGATGACCCTGGAGGTCCCTTCCAACTCTGTGATTCCAGGATTCCACGATTCTAATTCTGTACGGATCAATCGTTCCCCCTACTCGCCACTTACAGCAATTGAACCCCCCCCTACCCCCTTTAGTAAAGGTAAAGGTTCCCTTGCTCGAAAGCCAGTCGGATCCGACTCTAGGGTTGCGGTGCTCATCTCCGTTTCAAAGCTGAAGAGCCAGCGCTGTCCGAAGACGTTTCCGTGGTCATGTGGCCGGCATGACTAAACACCAAGGCGCACGGAACGCTGCTACCTTCCCACCAAAGTGGTACCTATTTATCTACTTGCAATTTCTTGCTTTCGAACGGCTAGGTTGGCAGGAGCTGGAACTAGAGACGGGAGCTCACTGCGCCATGCGGCACCCAGGTCTCGAACTGCTGAACTACTGACCTTCCACAGCCTGCAGTTCAGCGTCTTAACCACTTGAGCCACCTACCCCCTTTGCTGAGCTGTAAAAGGAATCTAGAATGTCAATGAAGAAATGTATCTGATTTTTTAAAAAGAACTACCGTATTTTTTGGACCATAAGACGCACTTTTTCTTCCAAAAAAAGTGAGGGGAAAAGTGTGTGCGTCTTATGGACTGAATACTGAGCCCCAGGGTTCAGAATATTTTTTTCCCTGTTTTCCTCCTTTAAAAACTAGGTGTGTCTTATGGTCAGGTGCGTCTTATGGTCCGAAAAATACGGTACATCTTCTTTTGTGCGTGGACCCTAATGTGACTCGAGCGAGATCCCAGTCTGGTAGCCCCTTAAAGACCAGGGAAGATTTCCGCTCATCCCTTGAATAAACCTTTGTTGGTCTTAAAAGTGCCGCTGGACTCTAAATGTGTTCTGCTTCAGACGATACGGCTGATCTCCTGGAACTAGATCCAAGGTTTGTATCTGACAAAGGGGACGTTGAACTCTTGAAGCGCTTATACTGTGGAAACCTTGTTGGTCTTGCTACTGGGCAGGAACTTTGCTCTTATACCCTGGAAATCATGTTGGTCTTTAAGGTCACGCTCGACCTGAATCTTGTTCTTCTGTTGCAGACCAAGATGACTACCCACCTGAACCTAATGTTTGTTTCTATACTTTTTTTTGGGGGGGGGGGGGAGAACCAATCTAATGTTTTTTTTTATTTTTTTTTTTGGGGGGGGGGGGGAGAACCAAGTTCCATGTCCTCATGATTGAAGAATGCAGTTCCCCAGGGCCTGCAAGACGGAGCTCTTCCGCCAGGCTTTCACATAGGGGCCGCCGCTGCCACCACCACCAACGGTGGCAACGCCAACAGGATTTGGGATCGCCCTGGGAAGCTCAGCCATATATTGTGTGATATTAACAACGCATGAACAATCTGCTGGACAGTGGTACCTCAATGGGGCTGACCTGAAGATGCCATCATAATCACTCAGGACCATCTTGTTATTGAAGCACTTCATTATTATTATGATTTTATTGTTTTATTGGATTTTATGCATGGGCTGTCGCCCCTTGTAAGCCGCCCTGAGCCCACTTGCGGGGAGGGCAGGGTAAAAATGCCTAAATAAATAAATAAATAAGAAGAGGAAGAGTTGGTTTTATACCCCCCTCTTCACTACCTGGAGGAGTCTCAAAATGGCTTGAAATCTCCCTTCCCTTCCTCGCCCCACCACAGACACCCTGTGAGGTAGGTGGGGCTGAGAGAGCTCTGAGAGGACTGCTCTTGAGAGAACGGAAGATTTGTTTCACTTACCGTTGTATAGAAATATTTAGAAATATTGAT